TCATACACATGTGTATGTTGGAAGGCATCTTGTCCAAGCTCACGAATCATTTCCTCCAGCTGATCATCCATCTCTAGATCAACTTCTTCTTTGTCTTCTACACTTGGCATGTTTAATAATTCACCATGCCATGTCCACTTTATGTAACTCTTTAGGAAACCATCACAAAGAACATATTCCCGAATAACTTCAGTCGGTAATCTTCGCTCATTCATGCAGTTAACACAAGGGCAATAGAATCTTCCATCATTATCCGGAACATTCATCTTAGCAAATTCAAGGAATTGTTCTACTCCACTCTCATATTCATTTGTTGTTCGTCTATAATTGATCCAACTCCGATCCATTGTTACCTTCTGTCACATAACACAACATATAAGTATAGTTTGAGGATGATAACATCCAACATGTTCTGCTGAAATTGCGATGTCACGTGATTGGATATTTTCATCTTTCAATAGGAAGTTCTGTCCTACAATGGATCATTTCATGACTGACTCCAATCAAGGCTAACCGTATTGTCTCACATTAGGGTGAGCATAAGCGATGATAGTTTTCGCTTAAAATGAAATAACTACATTATAATACAAATCTAATTTTCAAAATCAAAATCACGAAAGAATGCCTACAGAAACACATTCAAATGACTAAACTACTTACAATACGTCTCTTGTGAACTTCCATCTCTTGACAGCATTATTACATACCAGATTCAAAAATGTAAACCTACAATGGCTAAAGCAAGCACGAAAACTTACCTCTTGAAGACCTACAGAGGTGGCGAGTGGCGTGACGTGCGGAGCCGGGTGGGGAGAAACGTACACGGGCGACGGGCACCAACGACGATAGCAGCGAGGCGGCACGACGTACGGAGTTGGCGGTGTGGCGTGACGAGCGAGTTGGGTGGGGAGAAACGTACAAAGGCGAAGACGTTCGTAGAAGATACAGAGAGAACGGGGAGCTCTGCTATGGGTGAAGTGAGAAATGGAGTGTCGCGGCAGGTGTAAAACAGAGGATATTATGTCGGTTGCTCTCACACCCGTCATCAAATACACTTTCTATGTCGGTTAAAATTTAACCGACATAGAAAGTTCACTTTCTATGTCGGGTAAAACTTAACCGACATAGAAAGTTCACTTTCTACGTCGGGTAAATTTTAACCGACATAGAAAGTGAACTTTCCATGTCCCTGACATAGAAAGTGAACTTTTCACTTACTATGTCGGTTAAAATTTACCCGACATAGAAAGTTTATGATTTTATTACAAAATTGCCACCGCGCTACATACTATGACGGGTGGACTACGACCGTGATAAAAACTCGTCATAGAATACTATTTTTCCACTAGTGATTCCTAAGGTAAAAAAAGAAAAAACCAATATATGTAGACTTTAGAGAGTTTTCACCTGCACTATTTTGTTTTCAAATTCTCTTATCTCATACCCTTCATGGGTCCCCTTGTCCCAATCTTCTTTGGACTATAAAACATATTCTTTATCTAGTCAATTTGTTACATAAGTCCAATCTATCCATCATGAAACAAAATCCTTAGTTCACTGAATATATGCCTTTTTCAGTAGTTTTAAGAATAATGTATTGTTTCTTCTTGCTTTTAGCCTCCTCTCTCTCACTTCATTTGCTATTAGTACTACATCCAACATGATTTCCCTCTATCAATGGTGGAGCTACTAGGTAGCGTGGCTATACGAGAGTTATTAAAACATTATTTAAAAATAAAAAGAATATTTTATTATGAATATTATATATGAGTGATTTAAAATTAAATAAAATTGCTTAAAATACACTATTACAAAATATACTTTCTTCGTCGTCATTTAACGTCGGTTATAGGCGAGACGACGTAGAAAGTACTTTCCACGTCAGTTCCCGGATGAACCGACATTGAAAGTTGAATATTAAACACATTCTACGTCGGCTTTTAGTCAACCGAACGTAGAAAGTACTTTCCACGTCGGTTCTCATATGAACCGACATTGAAAATCTTTTTTTTTTCACTTATTGACAACTAATACTCTAACCACTAAACTATTATAATTTTCTCGATAATAACTTACAAATAAATTATATTTATATACAAATAAATATATATTTATTTGTATATATTTTCCGGAAAGTATTTTTATTTTTTTTCGACCAAAAATTTACTTAAGTTAATGAATTGTCACTGACAGCATTTGAACCCGAGTATTTTAGAGTTGAAAGTTAATATCCCAACCACTAAACTACTATAACTTTTTGATAATAACTTACAAATAAATTATATTGGTATTTTTCGATTAAGGGTGAAAGTGGGATTGACTCTCGCTTGAGTGAAAATATGTTAAAACTCACGGAAATTCACTCACTCAAGCCTCGTTTGAGCGAAAATTGGTATTTTTCGCTTGAGAGCAAATGACGCGTTTCCCAAATTTATTTTATATCATTATATAAATAAAATTATAATGATTATATTCTGTCATTAAATTACAAACTCATATAAAGATACTTGCTCACAAATTTAGCATCAAATTTTGAAAACTCACTCGACACACACTTTCACTTTCGAGTGTGCCCTCACATCCAACATATAACTATATAAATATATCAAAATATATAAATATATTTGTATTTATATATTTACATGGATATATATTTATTTGTAAGTTATTATCGGAAAATTCTAGTAGTTTAGTGGTTAGAGTATCGCTTTCAACTCTAGGTCGGTTCAATCCGCAATGACAATTTTCTTAAAATTAATAAACTTCTAAATCGAATCCCAATGACAATTTTCTTAAAAATTAATAAACTTCTAAAAAATATAATATAAAGAGATTGAGAACCTAATAAAATTAGAATATAAAGTATATACAAATAATTTTAATTAATTTTTAAATAAATTATATATAAAGTTTATAATAAAATATTTATTTTTATTTTTAAGTAATTGTGAGTAAATATTTTCTTCAGAGATCCTTGCACTATTTTGACTTTTCAATATCACATTACATGTAAATTTATTTAGGTATGCTCCTAATCTGGGAGCCTGACTATTGTGAGTCATCAATACTTTCCAGTTATACGTATCATACGTAAATGTCTTAAGCTTTGCTGTTTCCCACCTGCAAAGACAATTAATTACATGGAGCTAGGAAATGTTTGTCAGCGGGCCTGCTTGGCCCAGCATATCAAATTGCACTAGCTTTGGGCTTTAATTATGGGTTGGAATAGAAAAAGAAATTACCCAATTAATCTGCTTTAACATCATTACTCACCTATTTAATATTTAGTTTTCAACTATATATTTTCATATCTATAAGAATTCCTAAAGTTTTATTAAACATCATTTTAATATTTGATCTTTACTAATTTAATTCTCAAATTTTCCACTTTACAATTCTTATTTTTCAATTTTCCCTACTTAAATTAGTTCCAAAATTCGAATACGAAAAATATTCTAAAACTTATACCACACGATTGTGTTAATTTCAGAAATCTAATACCCATAACCTCTTAACCTTATGTCTTATAAACCATAACATAATCACATTATTATTCTCAGAGTCCAACTACAAATCCTCAAAATTCACTTCATATGATTAAAAACTATTTTTATTATTTTTTAATAATTTTAGTTATTTTTATGTGTTGATAATTTTTTTCATTGTATTAATTATATTTTCACTGAACGCTGAAATTAAGTTTTGTTCATAAAAATTTCAACCAAAAACGAAACCTAAATTTGGAGTACGGATTGTATCAATTTCGTCCATATTTTTTCTGAACTAATTTATTTATTTACAATATTATTAGTTTGTGTCTCGAACTCAAAGGTTTGAATGAGCCATCATATTTAATATCAAAATAATAAATATTTAAAAGTTAAATAATTTTAAAAAATTAACTACAAAATGTAAAGTTGTGAACTGAGTTGAAAGATTAGAATAGCTGAAAACAACTAAAAAGATTGAGCTAAAGTCTTATAATGTAGATATTTAAAATATAAAACAAATTGTTTAATATATATTCGTAAATCCTACTGACTTTAAAAAAATATTGTCTTATTTTTAGACCAGAAAAAATAAAAAATATTATATATTTTGATAATTTAAATATTCTAAGATATTAATCAAAATCTTAGATTCAAACTCAATTGATTAGATTTTTTTAATATGATAAATATAATAAATGTTTGTGTTTAGTATGATTAAAATATTTTATTTATTTTTTATACAACATTAACTGTTTCGTTAATATTTTAATAGTTATCATTAAAAAACTAGTCAGTTTTATATTACATAAATTGTTAAATGATATTATTGGGTGATATTTAAATGATATATATGACATGAAATTAAGAATTTTAGTAACAATAATAAATAAGAGGAATAATTATTAATAAAATAATATTAAATAAAATAATTTAATTTATATTAAACATAAATATTTTCCATTAAAAAAACATACTTTTTATTAAGAAATTTGAAATGAGTATATATCCAATACAATTCGAGAAACCCCTACCCCATTTAAGAAAATCTTGAACTGGTAAAAACCAATTCTGATATAAATATCAATTATTTGCAGGAATTTATGAAATTCAATTTCAAAGATGCCTTAAATGGTTGACCAGATAGGAATTGAGAATATGTAGGAACGCAGCAAGCTGGTTCACATGTTTTCTTCTTCAGTGACCTCATTCATTAATTGAATATTTGTACTTGAAGTGAAAGATTTATTTTATGCAGATTGCTATTTTGGGAGTTTCTGAAATCCAGCTTGCATAGTATTCAGCATTGATTATAAAACAGTGTCAAGTCAACACACTCACAAGAACCAGTGTATAGAAAAATCTATCTGGTATGAACATGGACTTAAAATATACAGATCAATGATAGACATGCGTATATCAAATCGAACCATTTCAACAAAACAATACGAAACAGTTTAAGTCAACAGATTTCTGCTTGAATGAAAGTAGGAATTATATTGTCCCAGGAAAATGCTTAAATACACATATCTCCACAAATTTGGCATTATTCTTGCTCCAATTGCACCAGATTATCGTGATCCCTACGTACCTCCTCTGAGTGAAAGTGATATCAAAGATAAGTTCTAAACATAATGTCTTTGTTTCAATATTTTTGTTCATTTTATTAATGTAGAACAATATATATATATATATATATATATATATATATATATATATATATATATATAAATAAATAAATAAGGGGAGGTTGACGATGAATAAAAAAAAAACTACTTTAAAAACAAATAGATAAAAAGATAAATAACAATACGTTAATACGAATTGTTCGTCCTTAGTCAAACAATTGGACCATGCATCCCTAGCAAAATAAGACGCGTTCCACACCTTGACATCAAATTCACACGGTTACATCTTATGATACCTTTCTTCTTCCCCTATAAATCCCACACTCGATCAACGTACCACTTTACCAATATCATTAACAGACACTAAAGCATTTTCTACATTAATTTATTTCTGAGTACAAGAGAAAATCCACTTTAGTTATTCAGGTTCTTGCTGCTGCTTGCTCCATGCACTCATGCTTCCAACTCTACCATGCAAAATTCTATGACGACGACGGAAAGGAGAGGCAGCACTGTTCTACAAGCGAAGAGGCATGATGGAGGGAGAGGTCGTGATCCACAAACGAACAGCATAGGACCACAAAGCTCAGCAACTAGAAAGAGAGATGTTGTACAAGCAAACATAACACAGCACCACAGAGTGAGAGGAAGTGATCCATAGACAAATTAAATAGCAGAGTTATTAATCTGCTGAGCATCAGTGAAGACGTGAAGAAAAACATGGAAAGAGTTGAGTTTATATGCGAATTGGTCTTACCCCATTCTGATACGAAGATAGACAACAAAATATTATGTATACGAAGTGAATTTGTTTGTTTTATTTGCCTTTTCCTAGGAAATTTTAATTACATCGTTATCTCAAACTGTAACCACATATAATGATGAATGTTTGATCCATGTATTAATTTCTATAGAGAAATCTCAGATTTCGTGTTGGCCAAGAGCGATTTAGATGGTGTTAGTACGATCCAGTGGTAGCTTTGTGTCAACATTTTACACAACATTATGTTTGGGGCAAAATCATTGTGTTCGTATTTCGGTGGATGCTGCTAACTAGCATAGACACTCAAGATATGTTAGCGTATAGAAGCAAACAACTTAAAAATTATAACTTATTTTAAAATTAAATATTATTTTTTTTACTTAGGTTCGGTGAATTTGGGCTCAACTGTCCGTTTTTATAATCTTAGTTTTTAAATAATTTATTTTATCCAATACTAATTAAACTCTTGATTATAGTTCTTATTGCTTTTGGGTGAGTATTTTTACATCATTTCATTTTCGTCGAATTTAAAAATAACGGACTTAAAATTTATTTTTTCTATTTGTAAATAAGTGATCTATTCAGGCTAACTAGCATGTTCATTTGTTGGCATAGTTAATATATATAAGGGAGTGAAAAAATTAAAACCATGTACAACTTCAAGAGGAGAATAAATAGTAAAATGAGTGATCCTATCACTATGCAAGGAGCACATTTAACATAATTTATTTTAGATTTTTTATATTTGTTCTTTAATCGATGTAGATTTCAACAATATAGAAAGTTTCTATTTATAATATAAGTTCTTCAACCGATGTAGAAAAAGGATGTATATAACTGATGTAGTATATAAGTTTTTTTCTTTAAAGTTGCATTGAAAATTATCCTTCTGAACATGTAAATTCAAATTTAGGATAAAAATAGTGAGTTAGTTCATATACAATACAATATAATTCATTTAATTTCATCTAGGAAAAGTATACATATATTAATAATTATGTCCACAAATTATCTTATAAAAACTACATTAATCCACCATTATTCACTAAAAAAAATATGTCATTTGTGATGGTTAAAATTGTAGATTTTAGGAGTTAAAAACCACTACAAACAAAATTTGTAGAAATTAATATAATTGTCATATTTGTGGATGTAAAAAACGATTTGTGACAGAAATTTTTTAAATGCTATTATTTATGTCAAAAAAAAAACTCCAATAGTTAAAAATCGTGACAAAATGCAATATTATTCTCATTTTAATTTAACATTTTGTTGCAATTTGAAATTGTTACAAATGTTATTTTTATGATTATTTTTATATTTTAACAATTAAAAACCGTTACAAAATATATAATATTTTATAATTATTTAAAACTTATTGGAGGTTTAAGAAACTACCAAAAACTCTTGAGAGTCCAAATATCCTAGAGTTTTTATCATCATTGCAACGAGATATGTTACTTGAGTAACCAAATGCCATTTTTACATTTTTTAATGTGGTGAGAAATATCTTTCCTTGATCTCTTATCATTGTAAATAATAAAGGAATATATTTTCCATTTTCATCTGTCCAGAAATCTTCCTTTATCCCCATATATTATAGATCTTGACGAGCTTGTACATAATTTTTTTATTTTTCTTCTTTGAGCATAGTATACAACACATTGTCACACACATTCTTTTCAATATGCATAATATCAAGGTTATGTTGTAAATAATTATCCCTCCAATAATGAAGATTGAAGAATTTTTTTTTTCTTCCATTGGTTCCCTCTACTATTTGACTAAAGATTACTACTATCAAAGGTTATGACATCAAATTGTTTCATGTTTTCTAACCTAGATAATGATTTTGGTGCTCCTTTTTCCTCAATTGTTTCATCAAAGTGTTTCTTCATCAATCTAAATTTATGACTTCTTTCTAAAAATCTTCGATGACCCATGAAACACCATTTGTTATTACGTCTTAGTCCGCAATGTGTTGTATCAAAATTACAAGTTAGGCAAGCATAACCAGTATAAGTATTCCACCCAGATAAAGTACAAAGTCCAGGAAAATCACTAATTGTCCACATGAGAGCCACTCGCATTATGAACACTTCTTTCAAAAAAGCATCATAAGTTTATGCACCTTCTGTCCATAACTCATTCAACTCTTTCACTAGAGGTTGTAGATACACATCTATCTTGTTCCCTGACATTTTTTCTTGGGATGATCATAGAAAGAATAAAAGAATATTGCTTCATGCACTCCCTAGGAGGTCGATTGTATGGAATTAGAATCACTGGCCATATACTATGGCTATTATTCATGGTTCGATATGGATTGAAGCCATTAGTTGCAAGGCCAAGACTAACATTTCTAGGTTCTAAAGCAAACTCAGGGTGAAGTTGATCAAAACTCTTCCATGCTTTAGCATCTCTTGGATGCCTTAATAGTCTATCCTGGTTATTGTTTAAAACATGTCATCTCATGGACTTCACTATTTTTGGACACATAAATAATCTTTGCAGCCTTGGTTTCAAGGGGAAGTATCAGAAGACCTTTGTTGGTATTTTCGTTTTGCTACAGTACCCTTTTCTTTCCATCTAGATTTCTTACAATATTTACAAGTCTCCAATTTTTCATCTTCTCCCCAATACAACATGCAATTTTTTTTTTTTTGGCATACATATATCTTGTATAATTAAGACCAAGCTTATAAATCATCTTCTTTGCCTCATAAAATGAAGTAGGAAATTTTGCATATGAAAATACATATGCCAATAACTCTAAAATCATCGTCATAATCTTATCAGTCATACCACATAATCATTTTATATGATACAACCTCAATAGAAAAGACAACTTCGAAAAATTTTTGCACCCTTCATATAACTTTTGGTTACAATCTCTAAGTAAATCATCATACTCTTCAAATTCTTCATTGGACATGGTTTCTACAAACTCAACTTGTTCATCACAGATGTTAGATTCTACATCATGTTGTCTATTCCTCCCAAATGCATCATTTGTCATATCTATCATTGGATTTCCATTTTGTAATGACACATTTACTACATCCACTACAAGAAAAAACGTTATTAGCGATCGAAAAAATCGGTCACTAATGGCAAAAAATCGGTCGCTATTCTGTTAGCGACCGAAATTAGCGACCGAAATGATTGGTCGCAAAAGGGCAAGTCGCTAATTTGTTAGCGACCGATTTACATTTCGGTCGCTAAATAGCGACCGATGAGGTGGTCGCTAAAGTGGTCGCTAAATAATTTGGTCACTTATGCATTGAAGACCAAAATAGCGACCGAAAATAATATAATAAATCGATCGCTAAATCGGTCGCTAAATCCGTGGTAAAGTTTTAAAAAATAGCGACCGATATATTCGATCGCTAATATATTAATATAATTATTTAAATAATAATTAAAATCGGTCGCTAAAATAGAGACAAAGTTAAAAATAATAGCGACGGATATAATCGATCGCTAATATATTAATTGAATTATTTAAATAATAATTTAAATCGATCGCTAAATCAGTCGCTAAATTTGAATTGTATATTATAATAAATTTGTAGCGACCAAAAATTCGATCGCTAATCTAACCAAATCTGAAAATTTTCGTTTAAAATTTTGTATATCCAATTTGACAAAATTTGTACCTACTTAATTCATCCAAACATAACACAAATGAAAACTTAAGAACTAAAGTCAAATTATTCAAATCATAAAATTTGTACCTGCTTAATTCATCCAAACATAACACAAATGAAACTTAAGAACTTAACAACTACTCAAGATTCAAAGTCTTAATATCATAAAATTGAAAATTAGTCCTCTGGTATATTGTCAGTGTCATATTGACTTGTAGTAGGAATTTTATGAAGGAAGCCAAGATCTATTAATTATTCTATTATAATAATAATCCTAATTAATAATTGAAGGTCATTCTTTGAGGAAGCCAAGATCCGTCTGATTCTGGATCAATGAAGGTGTGACTCGAAACTGCTCAACTCCTTCATTCTTCAATTCTCCGGCCCATTTCACTCTTTGGGATGGACGAAACCTAGTCCAGAACACCTGCACTCTTATCAAATTACTCCAAACTTGTTCAACTCAATAAACAACAATTTTATACACTTTAGACCCTCTTTCACTTTGATGTTTTTATGAAATTATCAACAATTTTCGTTGTCGAGATCCATTGATTTAATGAGTATAAGAAGGCCTTGGTGATGATAATAATACTACGAGAATGGAGTTAGAAATGATTGCTTGTATTCATAGAAGTAAGAAGTTCTTTCATTCTCAACTTTGCCCCAATTATTCCACCCTGCAGGCTTTATACATTGATCCATGAAAGTGAATGCAAAAACCACTCTTGCAAAAGGTCTCCATGGTCTTCCCAGATATGCATATGAAGTTCCCCCATTACCTGTGACAACACATCTGCAATGACACCACAAACAAAACATCATGTAAGGAACCAAAATGTTCACAACATAATAAAATTACTTTACTTGTGTAGTATCCTTTCTTGGACTCGGAAGTTTAACAGATTAACACACCAAAGAAACACTCGTAAAGGGAGAGGAGCAAAATATTGAAAAGGAAGCATAGAGTAGTATGAGATTCAAAGATTTTTATTCTAAGATTTCTTACGGGATTCCTGAATTCATTGAATTTTCAAGGGATCATTTCCCTAGCTTCAAGAGAATCTGGTTCTTGTTTTAACCTAGAATGTTTTTTTCTAATTAAATACTCCTAAATCCGTGTTAACCATGCTTCTAAACATTTACAAACCAAACTGCAAAACTTAAAAGCAAGATCATCTTCAAAACCAAGCATTCTCTCATTATCTTAATCAGTTTTCATAAACATGACTCGAGTCATGATGATAAACTTCAACCTAGGTACTTACTTGATTTCACATCGGAAGAACTAAGAGAGAACATATTTTGCCTTGGAATTGGAAAACAAAGTAAGAGTCACTAACATTGTTGTATTGTAGGGGAAACAAGATGATTGGGAAATGTCTCTTTCCTTGTTAAACAAGTTACAATGACTAAAAAAAATATTATGTGGGAAGATGATGTTGTAAGTATTAGGCATGATCACACACCTCGGGAATACATAACCAGTTTTTTCCTGTGGAGAGTTTCGCTCTGTGCGGTTATAAACCTCGCGGACTTGCAATGGATGTGACAATGTTCCAAGAGTGCAGTACTATTACCAAAAATGAAGTCCACACTCCCTTCAATGTAACAATCTTTCAAGTATTGCTTTCCATAATGTAAGTACAGTGTGTCCTGTACTAATCACAAAATAAGTTTATTTATCACCTTGGTACCTCAGATTTTCCTCAAATGAAACAGAAGGATAATGGTGTACAAAACCATCTAGCCTAACAATCATGGCCTCTTGTTAATTGAAGATCTTATTATGTTTACGCAACACACACTATAAAGGATACATCATGCACACATAACTTTCTAAAATCAAACTCGGAATAAAAATATGAAGACAAGTGAAGCACCCGCCACCCAAGGAACCTGCAATTATAGAAAGCACAACGATCTGCTGTTACTCTGAGTGCCACTGCCTGCCCTGCACCCTGCTAGGTAAAAGAGGGAAACAAAAGAACAGTGTGCACAAGGTCTCTGCTAAAATTCCTTCATATTTTAAATATAACAATGGTGTTCATATTTTAAACAAAACAAAACAAGTTCCCAAATTGGTCTGTCAAGCACCACCAAATCCGCAGTAAGAGGGATCTCGAAGAACCTATCTACTTCACAAATCCACCTACAATAAACCATAAAGAAATTATTTCAAAATTATCTCTCCTATATTATTCACAATGCAAGAGAATAACAGTATATACATTCAAACAAGCCAAACCTTGGTTGAGGGTGTCAGAGGCTGCGGAGGAGGTTAAGAACAAAGGTGTGCCGCGGTGGCTCACAGGGTGGCGTCCGGTTGACGAGGAGCTTTGGTGGAGGTTGGATTAGGGTGAGGGCTGACTTGGGGGGAGCAGTGAGGGGGCTAGGGCTCGCTGGGAGTGAGGAGGAGATACTGGCCAAGGTTAAGAGGAATGGGTGAGTCAGGCGCGAGAGTTAGGGTTATTTGGGGATAAGTGGCGCGAAAAATGTGGTAGTATATGATAGCGGTTAAATCTTAACCGCTATTATAATATCACTTCTAATAGCGGTTAAATCTTAACCGCTATTATATAGCACTTCTAATAGCGGTTAAATATTAACCGCTATTATATATTTTCAAATATGATCGATCATTTGAAAATGTAATCGATCATAATCAAAAAATGTGGATGTCGCTCGAGCAAGATCAGTGTCGCTCAAGCGAAAAATAACCCGAGAATGCTAATTTTGTGTAGGTGGCATCGCTCGAGCGAGACCATGTCGCTCAAGCGAAATACAACCCGAGAATGCCAATTTTGTGCAGGTGGCGTCGCTCGAGCGATGTTATTTTCGCTTGAGCGAATGTTGACCTGCTAACCGCCGATCAAAGTTAGCCAGATAATGTAACATGGGTGACCTCATGTTTGAATCGGATGTCGCTCGAGCGAGTATAGTGTCGCTCAAGCGAAATACAACCTGAGACTTCACAATCTTAAAATCTGGTTGTATATGATAGCGGTTAACCCTTAATCGCTATCTAAATTATACTTTAGATAGCGGTTAACGTGGAACCGCTATCATATCTTCTCAATTATAATCGATCATTTCTATTTATAATCGATCATAATGAAAACTTACATTAACTATTTTTTTGAATATTATGTTTTTAAATTTGCTATTAGAGAAAACCTTTCAGAATTCAAAATGTTAAATACTTTTAAATATTAAAATTAACTTTATCAAAAATTAGGAAAAAAAATTAATCCAAAAAAGTTCAAAAATGTATTATAATATTGTCAATTTTGAGTTTAATTATATTGTTCATTCTCAAAGTAGAAAAATATATTGTAATTATTTTAATTTAATAAAATATAATTTAAATTTTTAATACTAAAATTAAAAGATTAAATAATAATAAATTTAATTCTTTAAATTCAGTATTTAGAAACTAATATTATAGTTTCTCTGTTTTAAATAATTAAAATAAATATTTAAAAATAAAAATCAAAACTAGTATTATCTTAAATTTATTAAAAGTGTAATTAAATCTCTATTTTCTTAATTTTATTTGTTTCAAACTTCTCAATTCTACATTTTTGTAAGTTCTATCATTATATTATCATCCTCATCTCCTCCCATGTTCTACTTTATCTTTACAATAGTCAATATTCTTAAATAATTTATATTTTTAATTATAATTTTTTAGTATATATTTCGAAATTAATCAATTCTAATCCATTATTTGAAAAACTAATCAATTCTAATCAATAATTTAGAAAACTAATCGATTATAATTAATTATTTGAAAAAATTATCAAATATGATCGATCATTTCGAAAATCTAATCGATCACAATCAAAAAATCTGGTTGTATATGATAGTGGTTCCACTTGAACCGCTCTTAAAAGAGCACTTCTAATAGCGGTTAAACCTTAACCGCTATCTAACTATATTTTATTGATTTATTGATACATTTTTTCATCAGATATCGCTCGAGCGAGACTAGAGTCGCTCAAGCGAAATACAACCCAAGAATGTCAATTTTGTGCAGGGGGCGTTTCGCTCGAGCGAGACCAGTGTCGCTCAAGCGAAATACATTTTAGATAGCGGTTCCACAGGAACCGCTCTTAAAAGCGCACTTCTAATAGCGGTTAAACCTTAACCGCTATCTAAAATATATTTTAGATAGCGGTTAACCTGGAACCGCTATTATATCGTTTCAATTATGATCGATCATTTCAAAATATAATCGATCATAATGAAAACTTACATTAACTATTTTTTTGAATATTATGTTTTTAAATTTGTTATTAGAGAAAACCTTTCAGAATTCAAAATGTTAAATACTTTTAAATATTAAAATTAACTTTATCAAAAATTAGGAAAAAAATTTAATCCAAAAGAGTTCAAAAATGTATTATAATATTGTCAATTTTGAGTTTAATTATATTGTTCATTCTCAAAGTAGAAAAATATATTGTAATTATTTTAATTTAATAAAATATAATTTAAATTTTTAATACTAAAATTAAAAGATTTCTGTTGCATGAGGTTTCTTCACTTAAAAGATTTTGCAAAATGCCTCTAAAAATGTTTTTAACAATTAAAAACAAAGTATTTTGACAAAAGCTTTCTCAAACAAGTTTTTAACCGATACAGACTTTGATAGAACCGATTAAAATTACTTAAAATGTCAAGTGAAATGTTTTTACAATATTTTAATCGATACAACTTGATTTTAATCAATTAAAACCACTTAAGGGTTCAGGATGATCGATCAGAATGCAATTATGACCGATCAGAATCGCTTATGATCGATCGAATTTAGTTATGACCGATCAGAACTCTTTTAATCGATTAAATCTCGTTTCAATCGATTAAAACAACTTAAAAATTTCTACACAAGCATTTTAATCGATTAAAACTTATTTTTATCAGCTTAAAATAACTTGAAAAGTTTTACAAGAAAGTTTTGCAGTATTTCAATCGATTGAATCGCGAAACAATCGATTAAATCAACTTAGAAGATTTTTGTAAAGTGTTTTAATTGATATAAACGTTGTCGTATCAGCTTAAAACAAATCTGTTAAAGAATCAAGAACGTATTAATGGATTAAAAGAAGTTTTAACAGATTAAAACTGCACTTTTAACAGATTAAAAGAATCTTTTAACAGATTAATTAAACCAGATAGTTTTGAAAATCTTCTATAAAAACAGTTTGGCTTGAACTTTTTTAACATACATTGAATATCATCTTTTACACATCCTTGAGCAATCAATCAAGCAAACTTTAGCACTCTTTTCAAGAAAGATTCGCATCAGTTTTTGAGAAGTTCTTTGAAAATCTT